CTCTCCCCCCCCAACCCTCGGGCTGCCTTCGTCTTCTGTGATATCTGTGTCGTCACTCTAGTTCAGATGACTCGTCGCCTCAGGGATCCCCCAAATCCCGGAGAGATGCCCTGAGCGACGGTCGTCCCTGGCGGGCACGCGGCCCTCGGGCTGCGGCCCTTCTCCTCCTCCTCCTCCTCAACCCCGCCGTCCGCCGGGAAGTGTCGGGCCTGGGTTTAAAGAAGGAACCCGAGCGCGTGGCTGCGTGTGAGCGGGCGCGTGTGACGTCGGGAGCCGCCCCGCTCGGCCGTCCCCTGGTCAGGACCCACACTGCCGACTGGCTGGCCCTGGCGGTCACATTTGCCCTCTGGGGTTTTTGAAAACCTTAAATCAAAGTTATTTTTTTTCTCCCCCGGCAACTCCCGAGGCTACTGCTGCGGCCTCCGGGCTGTGAACAGATAAGGACGCGAGTTTCCCCGACGAGGTACATAACCCCTGACGGTCGGAGGGGGTGAGGTTGGCCCCCGCACGATGTTCGATTTGCTGTAAATCAGTTATTTCCATTTTTCCCCCCCACTGGGACTGTGGATCCCGCGGAGTAGACCGTGCCTGGAGCTGTGTTTACGTTGGTGGCCGGAAGGACTAGGGCAATAACGAGGGTGTTTCAGGACACAGTGTTAGTGGTTTTTCAAGTCCGAGTTTTTCGGGCTTGGGTTCTCCAGATAACGGCAATTCTCCCCTCGCCCTGATCATGTGCAGTCGCAGCGGTAGGTGTAATTAGAATCCGGACACGAAAAACCGCTCTGGAAATGGAATTTGTTTTCTAGAGTTCGAACTCGTGTCCAGTTTTCAGTGCATTGGACACCGCGGGCTGTAAAATCTCTAGATGCGCTTTCAAACCATGTTTTCCAGCGCCTCTTTCCATGCTCTGACTTTTGAACCGGCTACGCCGATGTGTCTCCGCGGGGGCAGCCGGGGTCGGTTTGCTCGCCCGGGAGCCGCGGTACCGGGAGGCGGGCGCGGGTCGGTGGGGGTCCAGCCGGAGACGCCACTCGTTGCGCCGGGACGGCTCCGTGCGGGGTGGGTAAAAGCCTCTATCAGTCACCACCACCTTCCGCCGCGGACCGGTTCATTTTTTTCTGGGGATCTGCTCGCGGCGCCCCTGTGACCATCTGTCCCCTCCCTCCACCGGACCCGCGCCGGGCGGGGAGGAGAGGAGGAAAGGACGCGACGTGGAGAACCGGGCCCGGCGGGGCTGGGGAGTTGGGCAGGGAGAGAGCGGGAAGGACCGGCAGCCCGCGTGCTGAGCTCGCATTAAAACGCAACCCCGCTTCCCTACCCCACCCCCCCACTCTCCCTTTTTGCATCCCCGCCGCGGTGCCTGCAATAACCGTGTGAACAGAAACCCGAAACGTCCCATCCTGACTGCTGAAACTTAACCCGGGGCAAAGCACACAGTCGGCGGGGACCGGGCGAGGCCTGGCGGGGCGGCACCGGGTCAGCTCAGGACTGTGGGGCCGCCAGGGACGGTGACACCCCCTCCACCCCCCCCGTCCCCCCCCACCCCCGGTCCGATAGTCGTTTTTTAGGGCGGGTTCCGGCCGGCGCGGGCCTGCGGGCCTCTGAGCTGCTGCAGCGCCCAGGTCCCGAGCGCGCGGCCGCGGCGCGGAGCGGAGCGGAGCCGGCCCGCATCCCGCCCGCATCCCGCCCGCGACGACCTCCCACGGCGCCACCCGGTTCCCGGTCCGCGCTGCCCACAGTGAAGGGCGGGGCGCTCTCGGGTCCGCCACCCCACCTCGCGGGAGGACGGGCCAGCGGCCACTGCGCACGGGCCACAGGGGAACGCGCGAACCCGACCTTCACGACTTGCGGCAGCTTGTTCTTCTGAAAGCGAATGCCTGCAGGTGCCATTCACGTTCGCCACGGGAGCAAGTTAGCGGTCGCTTCCAAACGTCAGGGTCACAACTTGAGACCGTCGCTGAAAAATAAAATAAAAAAAAGAAAAAGAGATGACTTCCCTCCTCCTCCTCCCCAACCACCACCACCACCACCATACTGGGGCATTTGATTGTAATCATTGCGAAAAATTGCAACTAGGGAAAAGGTTTACTTGCAATAAAGTAGCAACTGGGTATAGTTTTCCCGTATTTTTCTTGGTAGTCTTAACTGCTGTAACCGTGTTATATATATATATATATATATATATATATATATATATATAAAATCAGGGACGTTCGAAAAGTACACGTGGATTTAATGTCGCTTAAGCTGTTTTATAAGCAAAGGATCATATTCTACAAGTGTTCATTCTACCAGTTCTTGGTTGGTACATGGTAAGCGATATGTAAGTCTGTTAAATAGACGAACGCATAGGGCAAAAGACATCGGTGTTTCGAACACCATGAAATGATTAATATGCTCGCTTATCTACAAAATACTTAACCGCGATTAGGCAGCGCGAAATGTATCCATTAGGTCTTGTACTCCCCTCAAGTATTCCACCCGCCTGTCCCCTGGTCAGACTCATTGTCTGGTCTGTCTCCCACTGAAAGTGCCTCCCGGGTCAGAGGGAGAAGAAGAGGGAGCAAACTCTTGAAAGCGCCCAGCACAGGTAAAAACGGTGGTGGATCGTAGGGGGCTGAGAGAGGGAGGAGTAGGGGTGGTGTAAGCGGGCAGAACGAACAGAGAAGGTGAGAGAACCGAGGGATTTCAAGCCTCCGCGCCCCTGAGCGACATCCTTTTCAGCGAACGTTGGACGAAGGCTTGCTAAGAGCCCGGAGAAAAGATATCCGCGCGGAGAGCGAACCCAGTTCTTTCCTTTTCAAAGATTTGCACAGTGAGAGAATTAGACCGAAAGATACGAGGGACTTTTCTAGAAACGAAATGCCATTAAAAGAAAGCCCAGGATTAGGGACCTAAAGGGAACGGAGGAGGGGAGACTCGGGCGCCTTCCCGAAATTGGTCATCTCGCGGGTGTTTTGTGTTGAATGTGATTTAACTCAAGGGTGTGAAAGTGAGGTGTCAGGTGCCAAGATCTGGAAACATCTGACTCTCAGTGGCCCGGGTCCTCCTCTTCCCCCTCCCGTTTGATACAATAAAGTTACGGTTTTTGCACCTGTATCCCTAAGTTTGGCAATCTTGACTGAGGCTTATCTTGTCCCACAAATTTGAGTTCTGTTGCACAAATTAATGATGTGATTACTGCAGTTCTAAAATTCCCCTTGCAGCATTTTGGGAGCAAACGTGGGGTCTTTTAACATTCTCCTTAATCTGGTTTTCTCTTCATTAGAGCACTTTGATTTTTCAAGATCAATGGTCACATTTCATTTGTGGCTTCTCTGAATCCTTTGAGGTGCAGCTTCCAATTACTTAAAAAGTTTCTGGTCACTCCAGTGTTTGGGTTCTCTTAGAAAGTCACCAAGGCATGACACCACTTAAGAAAAGTTTCTCAGTGAAACACGGGCAGCTCTGTTATTTTAAGAAAGTTGTTCGTCTAAGAAGCCTAAATGCACATACTTCATATCAAGTCCAATATTTTGCCCTATCTGAAAGATTATAATTGCTACACAGTTTCTGGTGCAAAGGCAAGACAAGACGGCTGCCCTGAGAAGTACTAGTCTATTTTCAATCGCTGGGGCAGCCGGCACATACCATGCATCTGCAGGCAGCCTTGTTGGGCTGCTTCCCTAACTAGGAGGCTGTGGTGAGCTGGCAGCACATTCAAGTGTGTATGAGAATACTGCACCCTGAGAGTGGAGGCCAAGGGCAAAATCCTTGTAAATTTCAGTACCTTTCTCAGCATCGGGTTGGCATCAGGCAGGCCCACCTAAGGTCACTGTGTGACACATATTTTCAAGCCAGTAGAGCAAAACAGAGCTGAAAACAAGGGCAAATTTAGGCCCTCCCACCTTGAAGTCATCTATGAAAGGGAACTGCTTTACCAGATAACAATTATTCTCGCCTGGTCAGCCACACAAAGTGCAGAGTATTTCTTGGCTTGCTCCAGTAGGTGCTACTTATTTGTTTCATCAGAAGTTCCGAGGTAGGAAATCTAAGACCCAAAGCCCCCTTTCTGGAAGGTTAGAATGTTTAAATCGATCTCTGTTATTAAGGGGCAATTTATGTAAGAGCTTTTATTTCGTGAGTGGTGTTCTTAGTGCTCACTGCAGGCCCAAGGATGAAGGCTGCTTTTATTGCAGGAACTTGAGAAGAAGATTGCATACTCAAGTAACCAGTTTCCCTATAAGCAGTGGTCAAAAAACTCACTATTTTAACGTCCTGCTTGTGAGGGTTAAATTGATGTTTGCAGGCTTTTCTTTTAAGGAATTAAAAAAACACCACCTTCCATTTTCTTCATGTTGGTTTGATTGACAATTCCTGCTTCCCACCTCCCCCCCGCCACCCCAAGGATAGAGTTAGATCTATCCACTTCTCTCATGAAAATCATCTTTTAAATGAACTACAGCCCTGGCCAGTTTGGCTCAGTGGATAGAGTGTCGGCCTGCGGACTCAAGGGTCCCGGGTTCGATTCCGGTCAAGGGCACCTGCCCGGGTTGTGGGCTCTGTCTTCAGTAGCGGGTGTGCAGGAGGCAGCTGATCAATAATTCCCTCTCATCATTGATGTTTCTATCTCTCCCTCTCCCTTCCTCTCTGAAATCAATAAAAATATATTTAAAAAAATAAATAAATAAAATGAACTACATCCCCA